CAAATAGAATATTAGCTTCGATATCTAACACTTAACAACGCCTGTATTACTAACTCACGTCCGACCATACATTAATAACACCAAATAGAATATTAGCTTCGATATCTAACACTTAACAACGCCTGTATTACTAACTCACGTCCGACCATACATTAATAACACCAAATAGAATATTAGCTTCGATATCTAACACTTAACAACGCCTGTATTACTAACTCACGTCCGACCATACATTAATAACACCAAATAAAATATTAGCTTCGATATCTAACACTTAACAACGCCTGTATTACTTACTAACTCACGTCCGACCATACATTAATAACACCAAATAAATATTAGCTTCGATATCTAACACCTTACAACGCCTGAGTTACTGATTAAAAAATTGTTCCTGTTTGAGAAGATGAAACCTTAATATCACTTATACTTTCTTGGTTTCATAATTAAAAAACACCTACCGGCAACACTGGTGCAAGCAGAACCAACTCCTTGCAACGCCCTGGCGACAAACAATGTTGGGTAGTTCGTGCCGATAGCGAAAACTGTAAATAACAAAAAAAACAAAAACGTGTCATTATCCAGTAGAACTAGCCGTGTAAAGTGTAAAAAAAAATATCAATTCAATCAATAATGTGTTGATTACTTCCCTTATTACGTTGGAAGTTGAATAATAATGGTAACGTTAGCTACAAACGCGCACACGTGATTCGCTCATATATTTCCAAGACCATCTCCGTCCAACAACCTCGGCGTTTTTGAGGATTAATAAACAAAACTGTTACTTTTATCATAGGTGGCTGATGAAAGTAACAAACCAAGAAACGTTAATTTCAATGTTATAAAATGTCTCTCAAAGCAGAAGTAACGCGTTTCTCGGTATATTTAGTTCATTCTAAGGTTTTATCTCATTTTAACTTCAATAAAAGATACGTCAACCGTTTCATACTCAGAAATATGTTTTCTATAACATATCTTAATGAATCGCGTTAGAGAAAAAAAACCCTGAAAATCGAAAAAAAACAAACAACAACACAGAATCTCCTCCATCTATAATATACAAATTATCATAACTTTTCAACCAACTAGTGTTCAAACGACTCGTTTATGCTTCAGAAGTAGTGGAGGCATTGTTCAGGTATGAGTTGTGTAGTCATGCACTGGCTCTTTCTGACTTTCTGCTTTGAGAGCCACAAAATCCAGTGATCAAAGATGTACTCTGTGCTAAACTAACGCCAGAAGTTCCGATGGCAATTGGTAAAGTTCAGTATGTTCTAAATTGTGATGTACTAATTTACTGTATCCCGTTGCCATGATGGGCAATTACAGGGATATTTTTACTCTGTACACTGATTATGTCCCGAGAAAATATGGACAGACAATTACTATGTTTGATGAATATAATATTGCATCCACAAAGGATACTTTTCGTTAAGAAATAACAGGAGGAAAGTTGGAGCAGCTGTGATATTCCTTGAGAAAGTGTGTTGCAATGAAGAAAAACGAGTTCCTAGCTAACAAGATAGGTCACGATTCATCACTGGACACCATGCAAATAAAGAAATGCTGGACTCACTATGACCAGGAAGATGCTGGTTTCTTCATTGTACAAACAGCAGTAGATTCAACAACGAGGATTAACACTGACGATCACACAGACCTACTGATCTTGCTCTGCTAAACATAAACCTGGAGTCACGTGATTTGTTCTTCCAGCCTGAGTCCCAGAAAAATTCCAAAAAATATCGTGTTTGGAACATCAAAGAGGTGTGCATCAACATCTTTGTGTGTGTTATTTTGGGGTGTGACACCACCTCCCACCTCTATGGATAGGGAAGGGAGCTTTCTTCAAAAGTTAATAAGCAGCAATGACTTCCGTGAACAGGAGAAATCGACATAATGTGTGTCTCCAAGGAGGATATCGCCACAGCTGGAGAATAAGCCTTGGTTTGCCTGTACAATGACAAGCCTGACAAAGGACTTTGTGTTCCGCAACACGACCGATTTCGCGAAAATAATTCGTACGTTCGACAACAAAACCTTCCTCCTACATCAACTGCAGCAACGTACCACAATTTGCTGTCAGATTCAACAATGTGGACGAAGAGCTAGTGAAGGACGAATGATCCTGCGATCAGCCTTTCAACCAGCACCTGACAAACTCCTGCGTGTGATCAGATGGAACTTTCACATTGACTCTAGCAGATTGAAGTGAACTTAATGAAGCACAGCTTGGAATGATCTGGTGCACGAGGCCAGAGTAAAAGGTCTGGATGTTCCAATTTAGCGTAAGTTGCTGATGTTGATGGTGAAGACGTGTGAATTGTTGTGATGAACGTCAACAGTAATAGCTAGAACAGACAATGGGAGGATCTTGGGGCCTTAAAGATTTAATTCTATACTGTATTTTGTTTCTATCAGATTTCTTTGTCCCAAAAACTTCTATAAAAATTATTTTGACATTACAAAAATTTCCATAACGAACTAGCCCTATGCAATTTATTTCCTTTACGTTGGACTTGTTAAAGCCCAAAATATCAAACATAAGTTTTGGATTATCATTATACGTTTATTGGTACGAATTTGGGACGATTTGTATTATTGATGGAGGTTGTTTTCTGTTCTTTTTCAAGGTTTTTTACCTATAGTCATTCACGAAGGCTTTGGATATGTTACAGAAGACATATTTCTGAGTATAAAACAGTTGAGATATCTGTTGTTACAATCAGTTATGAATCTGGCCTTATTTTTTTCATAGACTAGACTAAACCTGTACCATTGTAGTTACTTCTCTCTATAAACTGGTTACTTTAACTTATTATCGTTTATGTTGAAATCACCAAATAAAAATAATATAAAAAAGTATAACTTGTTTTAAAACCTAAGACGTCTAATCTTCAGACATATCCGTGAAAGAAGCAGATTGCTTAATGTATTACACAACACGTTAGTTATCTGAAACAACAGGGACGCGTACGTTTCTAAAGAAGAAAAAAAGCAAATTGAACCTAAAGTTAAATATGATGCTTTAGAAAAAAACGTAAGTTGGTGTAATTTAGGCTTCATAGCTTCAAAACATGAACTTGGACGTAGCTTCTCAAGTGTATTAATATTACCACCCGTCAATTTTTTTAGAGACCAGGATTGGCGATATTGACAACAATCAGAAAAGAGTGAAGAATTTTAATTAGGCAATTGTTTTAGGCTGTTGCAACTGGCAAGAACAATGGAATTGACGTCCCGTGCCAAAAAACTTTTACTGATTTTTAATATGTGTTACATAATTATTTCCAGGCGAAACAGAACCAAGCTCTTAAATTTATTCTAATGTTTATAAAATTACTGGTTCTATGAACAGTTCATTTTAAACAACAACAGTGAACAGTTTATACAGAATAACAATTCCAGGCAGAGCTTTCTCTTGCAATAAATGCATTAATTATTGCTAAAGGCAAATTACATGGTTATTATTAAATACCACAAAACGAAAAGCACGAATTTAAATTAAAACTATCGTGAACATTTCAATTAATGGGTTTTTTATGAATTTTAAAATTTATATGTTTATTTATATATTGACTTATAAGGTAGTACAAAATTATCATTACGAGTTAATCAGTTTAGTCAATCAAACCTTCCTTTTTGTTTTGGTTTCTATTAAAACTTTCTGATGGTTAACATAATCAACCATACTGATTTAGCGTGACACGTCTTTCCGTTGCTAAATAAAGTACGGTTGATAAAACTTCCTAAATCCCTGCTAATTTGTGCAAATACTTTGTTCAGAACGTGAGTAGAGAATGAGAACTTACTAACAGTGGAGAGAAACATGATCACAAAGCCAGCAAACATCGGGATGGAGTAGCCAATCCTGAAAGAGTAAACAGACGAGATATTTTAAACAGTTTTACACATTATAAGTTAACGACGATAAATTAACTACTGATTGTGTACCAGTAAATTAAGCTAACAGTCTATCTTTCTAGGAATGTGTAACGTCATATACCATCTAAATGTATTGAATTTAGAGAAAGTAGTAATATCTAAATGTCAAGGTTATGGATTAACATGAACTGTGTGTTATATATTATTAGGGTCACGTAAGATCCGAAATTTGTTTATCTTTTCTTCGATCTTCTAACATTAACTAATTAATCAAACTTGTACTGCACAAATGTGTGTCTCTTAAAAAAAAACCATTTGTTTTTACGTTGGTCACCAAAAAAAAACAAAAAACAAGCCTAAATAAGTCTCTATTATCGTTAGCTTATGAGATCAAATTCAAGCAGTGGGAGTTAAACTTATAGAGTAAAGTATGTACCAAACCTACAGACAAAAAACACTGTTTTCTTTTGGATGGATAGTATTAATCAGCGGTAATGGGGCTAATATCTTATAGTCCCAATACCGCTAGATTAATATTATCCATCCGACATCTTATATTGTATATCTTATACTCCCAATACCGCTAGATTAATATTATCCATCCGACATCTTATATTGTAATATCTTATACTCCCAATACCGCTAGATTAATATTATCCATCCGACATCTTATATTATCCGACATCTTATATTCTAATATCTTATACTCCCAATACCGCTAGATTAAATATTATCCAATCTAGCGGTATTGGGAGTATAAGATATTACAATATAAGATGTCGGATGGATAATATTAATCTAGCGGTATTGGGACTATAAGATATTACAATATAAGATGTCGGATGGATAATATTAATCTAGCGGTATTGGGAGTATAAGATATACAATATAAGATGTCGGATGGATAATATTAATCTAGCGGTATTGGGAGTATAAGATATACAGTATAAGATGTCGGATGGATAATATTAATCTAGCGGTATTGGGACTATAAGATATTACAATATAATAAGCTCTGTTGGGTACATTTTCTTATTATTAAGTTAAGTGGGATGGCGAGAACTGATATAGCTTGAACCTCGTATGGTCATGGTACAAACTGTGTTTCTTACATGTTTAATAACACAACTTGTATGTTATATAATTAGATCTGCACAAAACATGATATCGAAATTTGATCGCGACATTTGCATGTTATTTAAACACTGAGATTTCAACAACACCTGTTAGTTAAAGGTCCAATAAAGGAATTTGTTATAGCCTGGATGACTGGTTTAGAGGCGTACATGAATCCCACTTCCATACTTTCGCTCGCTAGTTCCTCGTGTTTTAGCTGTTTTTCCTCAGGTGACATTTCTGTTACGTTTTCCGCTTCAAATTCTATACTTGATGTTTCCGTGGCTTCGCTTTCAAGTAGGGTTGGCTCCGTGCTTGTAAGTACCATGTGAAAAACATGGGGTTTAAATTTGAAATCGTATATAAATTTGGCTTCTTTCTCATGCGTATCACTACTAGAGGGGTCGAGATCGGTCAGTAATATTTCTTCTCTTATCATTGTAACATGTTCCGTAGTTGAGGGCGCCACTGTAGATGTAAAATTCAGCTTTTCGAGATTCTTCTGGTGGTGGAGCTGATAGAGATAGTCTGGGATAATAGGAACTGAAAAAAGAAGTATGCATATTACTGTAAGCAATAAAATTAAGCACTATATTAAAAAAATAGTTTTCTAGCTTCGAATATTATCAGGCAGGATATTATTTTCTTAATTAAGTTCACTATAAAAACAAAGCTTGTTTGTTTTTTAAGCGCAAAGCTACACGTTGGGCTATCAGCCCATCGCAGGTATCGAGCCCCGATTTGTAGCGTTATAGGTCACCAAACTTACCGGTAACCAATCAAAGGGCCAGAAAGAAAAGAGTTATTTTTTTTTGTTAAAATAGTACATTTTTTAAAACTGTATCAATTACTAGATTTTCAAAAATAATATTTTCTTCAACATTTTTGATAATTAAATATTTTGATAATTAAAATACAAAAAAAAAATATTATTATTGTTGCTTGACTTAAAGAAAAGTTTTATTAAATAATTGAATTAGTTAAAGAAATTACTATTTAAACTACACTATATTCTTGCTGACAGTTAAGCAGAAAAAAATACCAATTATAAATTTATGTTAGGTTTATACATAAAGTGATGACACTGATGGCTGGGTATCAGAAATATAAGTAATCTGTTCCAACACAGCCATAAATATACACTAACACCAGGCCTATTGAAACTGCAAAATGTCAGAATGTGTGGTTAAGCCTACTTCGCACAACTTTTCGACAGTTTGAAATAGTAACTTGTAAACTTTGACAAAATTGGAATGTTTTACAAAAAAATAAATAAATACTTCTGTTCTGATCTGAACTACGATATAAGCTTTGAATCAGTGCTCAAATTATGAGTGCTTAACAAGCATAACCCTATGAATATAATGAAAGAAATGTGCAATATACAGTACTCTCATATATATATATATAAATATACCGTGAATTTAATTACCTCATTGATCAGTTAATAATTAGATCAAAATTGAGAATTAACAATATCTTTGTATAAGACATGCTGAAAATCAGCTTTGCCCATGGCTGATGGATATAATATCAGCTTTGCCCATGGCTGATGGATATTTAACAGAGGAAGAATCAGAACACTCTAGCTGTACACACGTGCCTCCATTGAGACTCAGTCATGGAGTTTCATTCCCGAAACGTTTTACCATTCGCATTATTGTGTTAACAAGAGGAACAAAACTGGTATTTATTTTAACACTAAAAACGAAATCACTCTCTGTTCCTTCCCAGTTTTCTCACTTAATGTGTGGACAGAGCGCAGATAGCCCATCGTGTAGCCTTACGCTAAAATAATAACAGCATTTTAGATGAAATTAGTGAAATATGTTAAGGGGGGAACTCGTAAAGAATTTAATGATATTTAATTACAAAATAATTCAATGAATATTTAAACTGCAAACAAACAACACTTTTAATTGGCACAAAAACGTAACTTACACACAAATACATCACTAGTATAGTATAATAATAATACTGGTAACGAGATATCGAGTATGAGTGTGCATATTGGATACTGTCAGGAAAGTGAAGTTTTAGGGTGTAAAACAACTTTGCTGGCGGAACGTGACATGTAGTAGTAATGTTTGTATGATATCACATCACAACATTAGTGATAATAATTCGTTGGTTACGTCATCTTTTATTGACCCAATAACAGTGCATAATAAGATTTTTACTGTACCTTGTTTGTTGGAGATGACTTAAATTATTATTAAGGTAGGCATTGGGCTATAACACACACACACACACACATACAATTTACTATTAAACATCGTCAGTAACGTTGAAAAATATTACAATATCACTAACTGGGAAACATAACACTTGTTCGGATCATATATTTTCATGAGGAAGAAATAGATTTCTAATGTTACAGGTAAACCTATAAGAAAACAATAAACATTTAAGTTATTTTTATATCATTACCTAAGCATCTGAACATGTCCTCCAGCTTAAACCACACATAAGCGTTAGCTTCCAAACCTTATTGTGCTCAAACATCATTATATTTATATTTTCAAACACACAGCTAAACACTACTCGATACTATCAGAAAGTGCAAAGTAAAGACTAGTTAAGAATAAATGATAACGAAGAGATATGTACTGGTCAATTTTATTAAAGCTTCATCTTTCACATATGTACTGGTCAATTTTATTAAAGCTTCATCTTTCACATGCCTCTCTTTTTCTTCTTCTTTTGAACGGCGAAAAAAATACCGAAAAAGGTGAAGCCACTTTCACTTTTGCTCAAGAGTTCAGCATTACAAATCTTTTTAGATTGCCCCCCCCCCAGTTGCACAGCGGTATGTCTGCGGACTTATTCCGGGTTTCGAATACACGTGGTGGGCAGAGCACAGATAGCCCATTGTGTAGCTTTGTGCTTAATTAAAAAAACTCTTTAGATAATAGTTCTTTTTTCGATTTTGTTGTAATTTCCCATTCAAACTGAATCCTTCACTTATCCTAAACCATGACTTTTTTTTTCCTCCACTAAATCATAAAACGGTTTTTAACAATAATCTTAACGTTGTTTCCATTCCAAAATGATATATCTACGTTAAAATGTCAAAAATGATAACGTCACAATATTTTCAGGTCACACAGTTATGATTTAAAAATGTTGCTGTTTTATGATCTTGAGAATTCAAAAGATAAATGGGGAAAATGAAATTAACTGAAGACAGCATTATTCCGTTGTTCGCGCAAAGCTATGGTAACCCACGTGACATGCTCGTGGCCATCATAAATGGCTCAGTGGTTTGGTATTGTCTATGCACAATTATGATAATGATGCATTGAAATCCATATATCTAAGTTTCTTAGGAACTTAGCAATCGCTGTAATCAATCACAGGGTATAATTTCAATGCCAAGAAGTGGTATGTCTTACTGAGCAGGCATGAGTTTTTACGTGTTCAATAACAGTTTTTACACTAATGTAAAAATGTTCCTGAATTTAAAAAGAAATAAATGTATGCAGCTAAAGTAGGGCAACTTTTCTATACATATATTATGAAAGCAGAAATTTTATCTTTGCTTTTCAGCGAAAGAAATGCCTTAGCAGCATCTTAAAGCTTCCTACCCACAGTGCTTGATGCTCAACTGTACTGTCGTTTTTCATATCAATTATACTCTCAAAGAACTCCTCCAGAACTATATAACTAAAAGAACAGTATCAGGTCGAGAGAGATCCTCCAACTCTAAAATTTCATTTCTATTATGATTTTACGCTCAGAATGCTTCGTATAAACCGTGTAATCTTCGTAAATAAGAATTTGTGTTATGATTATAATTTCGTCTTGATAAAACATAGCGAAACACAGATATACACAGTGATAACCTTCTCCATACAGGTCGTCGCATCTATATAAATGTGGACAATGTTTTTACTTGATAAAACATAGCGAAACACAGATATACACAGTAATAACCTTCCTCAGACAGGTCGTTGCATCTGTACAAATGTGGACAATGTTTTTACTTGATGGATGATATACTGTTCTTTTTTCTCATGCCCCCCAATGGCACAGCAGTACGTCTGCGAACTTACAATGCTAGAATCCGGGTTTCGATACCCGTGCGTGGTGGGCAGAGCACAGATAGCCCATCGTTTGGCTTTGTGCTGGATTACAAACAATCTTTTTCTCATATAGTGGGGTACAGAGTGGGCCATAGAAAATCCTTAATAAAGATACCCAGGATACTAATTCTGTTGTACTTCGTGCGACTTTTTTATGTGGTGATGTTTGCATGATTAAATAATGAACATACTCGAAGTTGTGTAACGTTCGAACAATTCATTGATTATACAAGTACGGCTTATATTGTGAAAAATATTTGTTGTGTTACTATAACTTCATCTCTTCTTTACCGAGGGTTCACTATGACCCACTCTCTTTATAGTGAATGACGACTTGCGTTATACATTAATATATCTATAGTTAAGTCGTAACTATGAATATACACAGAGCAAAATAATCATACATATCAAAACATCTATTATAATGATACTCAGTTTTTGTCTGTCCCGAAAATGCGCGCGTACTTTATTTCAACGGACGTAAACAAAAGGCGGATATAAATATACTTTAGTAGAAATTTTTAACAACATATTAAAACTTGTTAAAGTTTTTAAAAAGATCTAACATTAGATCGTAGAATAATATTATAAGCTTATTTACTGATTGTATTAAGTACAGTAAAGTTTAGCCCTAGCTAAATTAAAGCAAAAATCGTTAGTGTTAGTTTATCTCTTCATCGAATATAGGCCGTACTTAATAAAGACTTAACTAATACTAATTTAATCGCAGATGTTTTGCAGATCTCTGTTATTAAATAAGTTACCAAACAGCTTTCCTGAAAAAAAATACAAGTCTGCATTCACTACGGATCACGTCTTTAACTGTCTTCATCAGTTTCTTGCACTCATCAAACATTAATCCGGAGATTTTTTGTTGAACTCTTGACTGATCCCTTAAACCTAATAGTGCTCACTTCCGGATTAATAATTAAGTATCTTATTTAGCAGAGGAGTTTTTTTTTGTTTGTTTTCAGGTTGTTGGATTAAAAGTGATTATAAGGACGGGAATGTGGAAGACCTAAAGGAGTCCAACAGCGTCCAGCAGAAAAGTAACTTAAATTTACCGCCTTATAAAATAAAGAGCTAATGTTGCGGAAGCTTATTTTCCCAGCATTTCATCACTATCATAGTGATCAAATTTGATAGGCGAGAAATCATTTCCACCTCTAAGCACGACCGAATAAATACAACTGGAATTTCTTAAACTTTAAAATAGGTCTGTTTGACGTTAATCGCAAAGATACACAATGGGCTCCATGTGATTTGCCCACCGCGGTTATCGAAACTAGCCTTTTAACGCTATAAGCCCTTAGGCTTACCGCTAAGTCACCGGGGTGTGTGGGGCGGGCTTATCGCTAGATTAGAAAATCTATTCGTCATCTAGCTGCACCAAGTGATTGAAAGATATATCTTGTGTGTGTTATTTAGAAGCTCATCTCCATTCCGTAGCTCAGCCAT